TACCATTACTTCTAGAATTTGTTCCAATTACCAAAAAGAAAAAAAAAAAAAAAAAAAAAAAGGTGGAAATTGCTTTCCAACCTAATAGGTGGGAAAACAAAATAAAATAAATGTGCATCAAAGTGTTGTACCTAGAAAAAGGTGGGAAAAACAAAAGTCAGACAAATTTGTGCTATCAAACACACTTAATTGGTTAAAGTTGGAAACATTTTCTTTTTCCACCCATTTTCAAGGTTATCAAATAGGGCTTAAGTGTATTATCAGTTCATAGTGGATCTTTGACTAGCAAAGCGCTCGAAATTTTTCCTACATTGGATTTCTCTGTGAACAATTCTAATGTTATTTACTGTTTTATTTATTGTTTTGATATAACTGTAGTATTCAAAGATAAGCTAAATTGGATTGTTTGACTAATCACCTATATATAATTAACTTGTGACATGTTGCTAGTTAATTAGATTGATAATTCTGCATTTACACATAATCACCCCATTTAGGTGTATTTAGGTCGAATCTCGCGTTTCTCAATTGGTATCAGAGCCTAATCTCGTGTCCTGCCCCATATTTTGATTGTCTAGATGAGTAGTTCGTTGTCCGTGCCTCCATATTTTGATGGCAGTAATTATGTCTATTGGAAAATACGTATGAGAGCTTTTCTTAAGACTTTGGATGAATGTGTATGGATCTCTGTGCAAAACAGGTGGACTCCACCTTCAACAACTGCTGATGGTATAGTTACACTCACTGATATTTTTTATGGACTAAAACTAACTTCGATGAGTGTAGTTGGAATAGTAAATGTTTACATGCTTTGTTTATAGATGTGTCTCCTGAAAAATTTAGGAGAGCGTCTATGTGTGAGACTGTTAAGAAGGTTTGAGATATTTTGGAGACTATCCGTGAGGACACTAAGATTGTGAAAAACTCAAAATTACAAATGATGACTTCTAGGTTTGAAGAACTTAGGATGAATGAGGATGAGAGGTTTAATGAGTTCTATGCTAAACTGAACGATATTG